GGGGGGGATCAGAACCGGTTGTAGCTTGAGCATCCTAGTGGTGTTGAGTTGGCTCTCCTTGGAATATGTTCTGGAGTCCAAGACACCGCCCTCCTTGCTGTGCAGAAAATGATGTATCTGCGTACGGAATGTTACGCTGTTCCGAGCAAGTCCCCTGCCCCGACCGACCTGTTTCGTGTTTACGACGAAGAGCAGGAACTCTGCCCCCACCGAGTTTCCCCCCAAGTCGGTATCGAGGATCCTTGCCAGCCTCGCCAGCGCCAGCACCGCGAACACTAGGACAAGGAACAACACCTTCAAATGTACAAAACCACAACACAAACGGAAAGCGACAATTGCTCAGCACCAAGAGCAGCGGGAAGCCCCGAAACATTGTAGTGATGATGAAGAGGCGTCATTGGTTATCTCGGGGCACCGACGAAGCCGAGCGGCGGCAGAGAGCAAAGGTCAAGCTTTCCACGACGGGGCGGAGGCAGAAAATAGATCACGGCGCCTCGGGGCAAGAGAAGGAGGCGGGACGTCACTTGGGAGGGTCGGCGGCGTCGTTCTGCACGCCCTCCCGAATGACCACTTACCGTACCGTGGTATCTACTGTGTTTTTTTTTTTTTCTCCCATCATTGGACTCTGTCGTCTCCCCCTCTGGCCCCTATCCTCCACTTCTACCAGCTTGACGACCCAACCGGGGACACATAGGAGGGTGGGGTTGGACCCCCTCCTGTGGTTCCTGCCTGAGATATTTTTATCGCGAGAAGGGTACGGCAATCCCTTCCCTCGCGACTTATGAAGTCGATCATGTAGCCCACCATTGAACACAGGGGGCGGTCGGTCGGTGAGCGTGTTAAGCAGCTCGCGGTGATCGAGGGTTTGCATATGTACTACAGAGCAGTGTAGAGAGGCCTTGTTTCTATTTGCTAACTCAACCTCATTCTTCGCATTAGGCAGCACATACTTACGCACTCCGGCGTGTACATCGATGAATAGTCGGGCTTGTTCCTCCTTAGCTTGCGAAAACAGCGAGCGCTGCACCGAAAAAGAACACCATTCTCAGGAGATTTTGGTCCTTCCGCCGGATTGGGCCATCAGGCCATCACGCTCTATAGCAAGGGCTCCTTTTCCGTCCAACTAAGCCAGATCTCCTTTCCATTTCCGTTACCTGCAAGCCGAAGAAGGTGTACGAAAGCTGCTGGAACCGCGTCGGGACGTACGGGAGCTGTCGTAGCAGGCGCCCCGCGCTGGTGATCCTCCACATCGTCCACACCCCCCACATCGCCATCAAGGCCATCTCCGCGACGGCCACCTGCAAAATTGTTCCGAAAACAAAACGGAACTAAAAACAACACAACTAACGATATAGGGCTCACCCCTCTGCAGTGGTATTTGCTTTGCGCGTGTGTCTGCTCGATGAAGTTCAGCTTCGGAGAGAGCAACAACTCCACAAGCATCACCACCAACACAAAAACAAGGCGTGCACCCCGGTTTCTTGCTCCCCGTTCTTGGTCGATCTAGGGTGCGCTCCAGTCCTTTCCTTCGCTACCCAAACAATGGAGCAGCAGCAGCGGCAGCGGCAGCGGCAGCGGCAGCGGCAGCCACACACACCACCACAAGGGCAGTACACACCCACCAGGGCAAAGGCGACCTGTTGCGCATGCGGCCAGTTGTTCATTGCAACCAGCGACCCGTGATCCCACCCCGCCAGACTGGGGAACAACGCCAGGTCGACCAGCAGCATGAACATCAGTGCGGCCACGCCAAGTGCCACCTTTGACATAGCATGGGGGTGAACGAAAGCAGATGACAGTCGGAGGGGGGGGGGGCGGGCGCGCG